GGCCATCACTGGCAGAGGGACAACGCGCCACCATCTGGAAATTCCTTACGTGAAAAAGCCAGGATGTTTGACCGAGATAGCAACCAATCCCAACCGTCGTCGTTCAACGTAAACGAGAATACCCAGAAATCTCTCTTCCCTCGACCGCCGTGGATCGAGCACGATAGAAACGAAGGCAAATCGAACAAGATGGTCACCGAGAACGGACGGCTCGATTATCGGCTGTTCTGCAAGCAGTTCGCGCCCTTCATCGGCAAGAACGCTGCTCCGGAAATCAGGAGTATCGAAGATCCTCGCAGGCACAACGAACACTCGAACGCGCATCGCAAGAACTTGGCACCGTTAAACGAGAAGCTCGGCGTGGTAGACGGGAAGATTTCCTTCAGGATGTTCCCCGAGAAAGGACCGCAGGTTCAGTATCGTCCGAGCGAGCCGCATCGCGCGGTTGAGAAACCAGTTCGGGACAAATTTGATCACAATTTTGTCCGCAGCGAGAAGGATGTGTTTAAACCGTTAGCCACGGTGCGCAATGATAAGGACTCGTCTGGAACTACGTTCGCGGGGAACGCACCGATCGATGTGATGCTGAAAGGTAGCTCGTCCGTGGCCGTACAGACGGGTGTCAACGACGACAGTCATCCTGAAGAGGCACGCGTGTTTCAAGTGGTTCCTAGGGTCGCAAAGGGGCTGCCATCCGCGTACAATAACGTGTCCGTTCAAACCCATAACGAGCCGGAAGTGGAAGTCAAAGAACACTGGATAACTCCTCAATACAATGACGTTGTTCCAACATCAGACTTGATTTATCATCCTGCCGCGGATCCGAGCCATTTCGTTCTGGACCACAATCGGAATTATGCCGTAACGACTGATATCACTTCGAGAAACGAAGTTCTGCCCCTAGCGAGCAAGAACACGTGCGATCTTGTCAAGGAAGACACCGTTTGCGTGCCGTATTCGACGGAGAAGGCTCCTTTTCAAGCGATATCCGGTCATCAGTTGCCGGAACAGCGCGACCCGATCCTCCGAACGAGTCCGCGATGTGAAAATTATTTCTCGCCTAAATCAATTGATAATCGACCTCAAATGTATCCGACTTACATCCCGTGCGTTAAATCCGACAAGGATCCGTTCGAGGATCGGATGCCGAGCGTGTCGCATGATATTGGCAAAGAAAATCCTTTATGTACAAGCGACGGCGCTTTGCCAGAGGAACAGCATATCCAAAATCAGGATATCAGCGCGGACACCGGCGTCGTCACGCGGTACACTTGTGCGATCGCGACTGTCGCGTCCGCGGACGTTCCGGCGACACAACTCGATGAAGCCAGACTGGAATCTGGAACGTCACCAGCCTCGTCCTTGTCACCCTCGCAGCTCTGGCCGCATCCCAAACCGATCAGTAGCGAGACCATTACGACCGAGGACGAAATACGTCGACACAACATGCTACAGCAGAGCCTGGTTCGTCAGTTGCAGAACGAGCGAGCGATACTAACCGATCATCATACGTCTGTCGTCAACCAGTCTGGCAATTTTAATCAACCTAATAGTTTTCATCAATCTAACAGTTTTAATCAACCTCTGAGGTTCCAGCCGTCCGAAGCGCCGAAAAGACCGGAATTGCCGAAAAGACCGGAACCGCCGAAAAGACCGGAACCGCCGAAAAGATCGGAACCGCCGAGAAGATTGGAATCGCCGAGAAGATCGGAACCATCGAGGAAGTTGGAATTGCCGAGGAGGTTGGAGCCGCCGAGAAGATTAGAGCCACCAGCGGTCGTCACTGGTTTGCTGTCGGTAGCACCATCCTCTGGATTCAGCGCGAAGAACCGAATCACCGCTCTGAGAGAACAGTACGAACAACCGGGCCAATCGAAACCCATCCAGAAGGAACGCTCGCCGATCCCAAACGGCGCGAGCGGCGCGATGGACTCCAGTGACGAGTATCTCGTGTCCTGCACCAACAGGCCGTCCAGATCCATCGTCCTGTCAAAGTCCGAGTCGTGGCATCAGCTGGCAATCTCGAAAGGCCATCACGCTCCGTCGCGCCCGGTACAGGATAAGTTACCGCCGCAAGCCCACGCTGGCGCCGGATCCTATCTTCCGAAACCGCCCAAGCCGAAGTCGCCGTCGTCCTTCAAGATGAAGAAGCAGTACGAGGCGTCTTCGTCCTCGGATAGCGTGAAGAAGATGGAGGACAAGATACGCAGATACTTCGATAATCCAGCGAACGACGGCACCGCGGAGACGAGGGACTCGAAAGGTAGACGTTTCTCGTCGCGCGACTCAACGAAAAAGGGCCTTGTCAGTCTATCTAGGAGTCGCACCATGCCGGGGATATGTGACGAAAGCCTGCGTCTGACCATCCCGACGGTACCACAGATTCCCGTGGCGAGCCTCAACAGTGCCGAAGTAGACAAGGTGTTTGATGACATCTTCGAGGAGGCTACCAGGACCGACGATCTTCATTTCTGATCGACCGATCCTCATCGTGTTGTATAGTGTCGGCGCGATGTACACTTGGGGGACTTGATGACGGTAAAAGCGGCGTCCGTTCGGAACTTTTGCGAGAGTACTCTTTGTGTGAGAGCTGAACATCGTGATAAGAACACGATTCTACGTTAATCTCGACGTGCTACGTAATCGGCCGACAACACGTGGATCGTTAAACTGTGATCTTGCCCACTTTGATTCGCATGGCCTGACGTCGACAACTGTCATCCAGGACGACGCATCGTCGCGCACATAGCCGGTTAATTCTAATCAGACTGTTTACGTTAGGAGTTTGCATACGATTATTGTTGGTTACTTGTTTTCATAAGACTGTTTCTGTAAACATTAACTGAGAATAACTGTTCTTTGAGGTTTAACTGATCCTCTACTTCCTTCCAAGTTGGCTTCGACTATTCGACGTTAATGGCAACGACCTACAGTACCTTCTTCATAAAAGTGAATTCAGTATTATCTAACTGCATTTTATACAAAATGCCGTGTGTTTTATTAGAATCCATGATGCTATGATTTGATTCTATGATTTAATCATCTTTCATAGATAATTGAAGAGAAGCTAAAGGCACAGCTACGTTAATACGCTTGGGAGATTTACAGTTTAATTTGCTGTGTGCAATTCTCGCGATCTTTTTGCGATCGCTGAGGTCGTTGTAGATTTGAAATTCGTGTCGAAGCTCTTTTCGTACTAAACTATATACTAGGATCTAACAAATCTGATTAGAAGGTGCATATTTGAGGAAAAGAAACATTTCGCGACGCCGTGTCTGAACACGAAGCTACATAAGCTCTCTGCAAAGGCAACGCGTCTCGTGCAACCACGGCGGGATTGACGCCGATACATGGTCTTTGTCCATTACGAGAGACGGTAGTGCAGATCGATTCAACGACCATCGTCACCGCCGCCGTTGTCCAGCGACGCATCACTCTTCGTTCTTCTCGCTCAAGATCGCCTCGCTCCTGGC